GATAAAAGTAAAAATAGATCTTATAGATCGCTTCAGCGCGGTTTAATTCATTTTGGCATACAGTTTCAAAAAGAACCGCTCATAGCGACCCCCACCAGAACAAGTGCGCCCTTTTCATTTCAACTACCTAACCTCATCTCAGTCCCCTGGACCCTCTCAGAAGGCTTTACGTGGGATAAAACCATACTCAAGGGATTTGTTTATGAAAGATACGTTAACACACGGACCACTATAGTGCATTTCATACATCTCTCTTAGATTTACATGACAACTTGGAAGCTATTCAACTATCCACATATAAGGTCGCTAAGAGATCTCTGAGCGAGCTTCAATTTAATCGTGTTTTATTGGTTCATAACATATGCCTCTCTGAGAGTTTCCAGCTGTAAGATAGGAATATTTTAAAAAATGATTAAAACTCACAAGGATGTCTGCTTGTAAGCATATGCTTGTGGTATACCACATGTGGTTTGTCACAATTGTACAAGTATCAGTCCTTCTTTTTGAAGAACCTCATTCGCTAACGGTGAAGCACACGTAATAGGTGAATCATAAACATCCATTTCTCATGTGATATTATTTTTAAATTTTAACGAAGAATGGTATACAGTGTATACCATTCTTCGTATGGGTGTTGTCACAACACGTAGGACGGGGTCCGTCCCCACGTCTGTAGACCCATCGTAGAAAATATCATACAGTATACACAGTATAAGTATCAATTGGGGAGGCACTGACCAGCCAGTTAGGTAAAGCTTTACCACTCCTAGCATCTACTCTTTTACAGCTAAGGTAGCGTCTACCGTCCCAAAAACCAACTCCTATTCATTGCACGACAAAGAATATCTTAACTTCATTTGTTTTGTGCTTGCACTCTCCATTCAACTTCACAAATCATGACAGCATGAGGCCCCGCTATTTGCTCTTCTCACTTGGTGCCGCAAGTGCAGTGCCAGGTCGCTTCAAGGCCATATTCTACCAAGCTCACAGCCAAACGCCGACTCAAATAGGTTTCCTCATCGCAATTGAGATCATCATCGCATTGCCTGCCGCTCTTTTCTTTAGTCAAATCGCTGATCGCGCCCGCTCACGAGAAAACGTTATCTATGCCTTACAAGCAATTTCCCTAATTGTCTTCTTGTCACAGTTACCGGCACTTAGCTCACTGCACATGTTATCGCAGCAAATATCATTTTCAGTTTTGACTTGCACAGCAGTTCTCCTCGGTATATTTCACGGGCCGCTGTTTGCCATTGTATACGGCATCTCCATTGCTCATCTTCGCAGTCGACATGGTGAAGACGGTTCGTCCCAGTTTGGCAAGGAGCGTGTTTGGGGATCTTTCAGCTGGGGAGTTCATTCTTTTCTACTTGGCGCTCTCATCGATATCCCTAGCATCGGTATGTATCCAGTTTATGTTCTATTCGTCTTACTATCACTACTTTTCGTTGCCGTCGTGTATTCCTTTCAAGAGAAAAGGCTCCGCATTGAAACTCATTACTTACTACATCATGATGATGACGGAAAAGATGTAACGTATCAAGACTATGCTGCGATTAAAACTGAGCAAACAGACTTGGAAGGAAAGAAAATTGTGCAGCTGGACGCGTCTGCGAAAGACATAATGCCAAATGATGGGGATGGAACCGAGATCGTGAATAATGATACGGATCAGAAGACGGATGGGACCCAAACTGGCATAGCCTCAATCATTGCCGTTGCCCGTGCTATGATTTGTAACGGTGGTTATGAGGATGTTCTTTTCATCATTATATACTTTTGTCTTTCGATCGGCATGGCAGTCGTGGAAAATCTTTTGTTACTTGTCCTTGTCAATGACCTGGGTGCAACAAACACTTTGTGTGGTTCATCTGTGCTCATCATGACGATTTTCGAGCTCCCAGTGTACTCGGCAATGCCCACTTTGTTGAAGGATTACGGACTACAAAAATTGATGCTTGTTGCGGCCGCAGCGTATGTAGTGCGAGTGGTCTGGTACACGATTGCACCTGTGGCATGGGCCGTTTTGCTGGTTGAACCGTTACATGGCGTGACGTTTGCAATAGTGGACGCTGCTTCTGTCGAGTACGCCGCACTTAGGACGCTGGGAGGCGACGAGGCTACCGCTCAATCGGTGTTTATGGCCATCAGGGCGGCAGGGCTTGCAGTGGGAACAATTATGGGTGGAATGATTATGGATATGTTTGGAGCAAAAGTTATGTACCTTTCCTGTGCTGCCCTCATTACAATCGCTTCTATTTCATATGCAATCGTTATACCCCTTAGTAATAGATAATGGAGCTACCTGTGTGTGATACAACAAACAACTCAGCTATTTTATTTTTGCTCCTGTATAACCGCACCACTGTTTGCTGCTTACTTGCACAAGTACACTCTTGTCTTTCAACTACTGTAGTGATTAGGAATTGACGATCGGACAGATCACTTGCTAACTTTATCGCCTGGTAATATCAAACGTATCAAATGACCGATTTGGAACGTTGATACAAATCCACAATTAAGATCCCATCACGCAACTCTAACTTGAAAGCCGGGTCATCTGACCATTTGCTGAGGATTTTAGAACGAAGCTCCCTGGGAATGTAGTCCATTGTTTTAATCCTGTCTTGAAGGTTGACAAAGTTGTGAACTCCGAAAACTTGCAAAGGAAGTGGTGATTGATAACTATCAGCCGAAATTCGAATATCAGAGTTCGCGTCGTGAATCACATCAACTCCATTGATATGTCGAGTTGCGACTCTGTCTGAATAGAACGTCAAAGCAAAATGAAAGTAAAGTACATACTCGCTCGCACCATTCCAGATGGATATATCGACTTGTTCAACAAAAGCTTTCCAGAACGGCAATCGATGGTATTTTTCGGTTCTACGCATCATGTCTTCAACTATTTGACGAGCGTGGAATTGATGATGATGCATGCCACTGAATACGTTGACGAGCTTCCATCCTGGGACCAATCGTCTGGCATGATCGATGTGACTGTGCTTCGTCTGATCAATGGCTCCGTATTCCTCTAGTGAACTAACTTCACAGAGCCAGTTGAAGGGGTATCCAAAAGCAAGTAAACCCTGACCATGTTGGTTTATAAAAGCCATCGAAGATGTGATTGTGAAATCGGCGTCGTGAATGAGCAGACGGGGAAGCACGCCTGGAAGGACACGGAACGAGTAAAGTTTGAGAAGTTGTTGGTAGTACCAGCTGGCATGATTGTACTTTGAGCCGTTTTTGAGAAGGATGTCGCGAATCTCAACAATTGAAAACGGATATTTGTTCTCATTGATGAAAACAATTTCGGGATTGACGCTGGGAATGAGCTTCAAGAGCAGCGACTTGCGGCTTGCGAGCGATTCCTGGATCACAACATACACACGGCGAATGGGCGTTGCTGAGTTACAAAGCAGACCTAAGACGGCTTGGCGGAGGAAAGGTAGGTCCTTTTCGGCAAGGGGTATCATCACATCGATCAGTGCTGATTGCTTGTGATCATTTTCCTGATCCGCTTCCCTCCTCGAGTATTCCGTTTGCATTGTGTCGATCCAATAGTGACGGGATAGCTCGCTTCGTTTGTTGTTTGTTTGTTTCCCTTTTCTTTATATCCAGTTTGGGGGAAATTGTCTTCCCCGTAGCATTATAAATAAATCAAGGACGCTTAATGTCGTGTTGATGACATCATCAGGCGGAGCTTCGAATCTTGAACTGCTGCCAGCCGTCAATAACGAATAAGAAGCCGCAAAGCTACTCACGTTGACGCACCAATTTCCGATTATTGATGTAGTAGATACATTGTAGTTTCAGGTTTCATTTCAATGGGAATACAGTGGAAGGGATTCTGAGACAGAACTATGGTAAATCGTAAATAGGCCTCTTTAAGTTAAAGATGGATGGATAAGCAAGAGAGAGAATGCTCAACTTTCTCTGCAACTCTTAGGCGGTGTCTGGGCGTGCGACTGTATGACTCACCTTGGACAGCTATTAAATAAGAGGCAGACAGGAGGCAGAGCTTCGTCAAGATAGCCTGGCAACTGTGTTCCTTCTCCCTGGAGAAGGAATACAGTTGCCAGGCTATACGAAGAGTGAATCACCAATCAAAACAACAACAAGTGCTCCTTTAAGCATACGTTACTACATCTTACCATTAATTGCGGATTTCCAAGAAATCACCGTTGCATTGCAGGAAATGGCCTCAGAAACTGTGAATCGGATCCAGGGGTTCAATTCAAGCCTTTGAGATTTCAAAAGTATGGCTGATGTCCCAAGTATGGCTGATGTCCCAAGTAGTTCTGGAAGCAGTTAAACATTAACACTCAAAAAAGGTTCGATATTTCGACGCCGTCATACATGCTCCACCTTTTTCATTAGGCCTTTCTATCAATTTGCACTTGGCTGCAAAAAGCCGTACTCAATACAGTAAGGGATGTCATGTAACAGATTGAGAGCTCAAATTCCAGAAATTATCTGAATCACGATAACCAACAAATGACACTCATAGATGTGTTACACGTACCGAAAGCATAGGAATCACCGCAACTAGAACCGTTTTCAAAAAAACGCGGACAAACACAGAGAAGACACTGTGTTAGATAAAACGTTCAACTTTTACGTAATCCCTTACCATTCCTCGCCGCCATTCCCGAAACTCTTTCCCAATCTCGATATTTTTCTATGAATCCTCTCATCACTCCCCAGGGCGATTGCATCCGTGAGTTTTCTCTCAGCCCCTGACTACCTTTAGGACGTACAACTTTAGTTGAGAGAACGATCAGATTTTAACGCAAATGCAACACAAATGCGCAATTGAAGGTCTATTTGCATGCGAGAAGTTGGATAGAGCATCCCCACCGGTTGAATCAAATACCAAAATTTGATGATTTGATGTCGATTGAAATCCCCACCGGTGCAACCAAATCATCAAATTTTTGGTGTCGATCTAAAAATCGGAACCAAATATCAAGAATTTGGTTCGGATAGTCTCTGTTTGATTACCCTTGACAATCCAGTTGTGCACGTTCTATTGGTCGACCGAAACGGCTTCCCACCAAAAAGTGCATCGATGCGGTATTTGCCTCGAGATTACCAGTGTCTCCCGCCGATCCAGAATGCCCACTACGGCGTGCATGCTCTTCCCCCTTCCATCCCTCCAGAACGTTGACGGCCCCGCCATCCCTGAGCGCGTCCTTCCCCGCCCGGCTCTTACACAACAACAACACTTCCTCGACCAACCAGGCGCGAATCTCCGCCATCTCCTCCCGTCCCACCTCCTTTGACCTCCCCAAGCACACTGCGACCGCCGCCGTACCCCCACCAACACATCATGGCACTCGTCCGCCATCGCGCAGTTCCGCACCCAGCTCGCCCCCGCCAGCCTCTTCTCTGCCTCCCCCGCCTCCAGCAATCTCAGCAACCTCGTCAACAGCTGTCTCTCCGCCTGCCTTCCCTCGACCAACAGGACGTCCCTCCCCTCCTGGCTCGCGCACGCATTCGACAGCCGCAGCACATTCGGAATACTCGGTACCCTCTCCACGAGCACGAGTAGCGTGCGCCTCTCCCGAAACCCGTCCGCGCCCTCCGCTTCGTCCACGCCCGGCGCGAAGCGCGTCAGGTTGGACAGCAGCGCCGCGTGCAGCGCGACGACGTCCGCGTCCAGGACCACCTGCGCTGCGAGCCGCACCGCGTCCGCGTGCGTCAGAGCCGCCGGCTCCTCGTCCTCCGACAGGTTCACAAGCGCAGACAGTGCTAGAGCAGTGCGATTCGCTGCTCAGCAGCAGCAGCAGCCGCAGGAGAACGTCGCTCGCGGCTGTCGAGCCAATCATCCGCCGCAGCACCGCTGCCGCCGGCGCGTATGTTCTCTCCGGGATCGCGCTGCTCGCGGTCGCGTGGGGAGCGCGTGCTGTCCGTGAGCAGGGAGGACAGCGCCGGCAGTCTGTCTTTGTCCACGGTGGAGGTGAGAGGGAAGGAGTGCAGACAGAGTGGCGAGGGAGAAGGTCGCGGGATGGGTTTCGAGTGAGCGTGCGACTACGACTTGATTGCCAGTCCTAACAGGCGCTTTTCTTTTCTTTTGTTTTCCTTCAACCAGTTGCGGTCACGCTATTGGCCGGATCATTTCATTAAATTAATCGCACGCCACAACGAATGCTACACAGAACCACTGTAATGCTTGGTAATTCTGCGAACTGGTCGAAATCCATTGGCTAAAGGAAGTACCAATCCACACCCAGTCCATATGCACACTACTAAAATTCCATGGACTCGATGCGGTGCAGTGGCACTTGCAGTACAATGAAAGGGTGGAATTAAATCCAAATACGAGCACATGCAGATCAAAACATTAGTTCTCTCAACATTACAAACCAGACACAGTACCTTCTCCCGCCATTTTATGTGCACAACTCGGCCCTCCCCCGCCTCGACGCCCACGTGAAATTTGCGACAGTCGTTTGCTAGCATTTTACACTCTGTTTAGGAAACGGAGCACCACCGGACGGCAGAAGGGTACCTAGAGTTCAGCACCCAGAGTTCAGCTTTTTGAAATCAAATGCCTCCTTGGCATCGATCATGAAATGGAGAGAAGCCGGGGAGGCTGCTCTCTAGTTCATGATCGATGATGAAGTGGCTTCGCCGAAATCCCTTTCCTGTGAACCACCCCGCCCTCGCTCCCTCCCCCCCAAATAAGACCACGTCCCCTCCTCCCCGCCACCCCCCTTCCCCTCAATATCCCCACGTCCCCTCCCCGCCACCCCCCCTTGCCCCCCAAAATCCCCACGTCCCCTCCTCCCCGCCACCCCTACGTCGCGCCCCACCACCACGTCCCATCACCATCTTCCTCACCTCAGTACCGTGACCAACACACATCCTCCGACATGCTATTGTCCCCGCCACTGCGTCATCCTCCTAACATCGACACCGACACAGTCTCTCCCCGCACCCTCCATCCCTTCCATATCTTTCGTTTCATATCTCAATCCAGCCCAGTTTTGGTCATGCACATCGAGGGACCTCATTATAGCAACACGTCGTCCAGCTTTGCTTTTGTCGAGCTACAGGGAGTCAGGGCTTTTCTTAACTCGGCTGCGCGGCGTGCGTGCGTGCGTGCGTGCGTGCGTGGGGAAGTAACCTTACAGTCTTTAATCTTGTACAGTGTAGTGTTGAGGGGGTGACGCGGTCAAATTTGCTGAGGCACCCATCCGATTGAGAAATATTTGTAGGGATCGTATGGGTGACGTCTTCAATCTTAATGCTGCATTAATTTTTAAACTTTTGTCAGGCTCCGTGCTTCCTGCGGCTACAGTATCTCCAGATTGGTCAGATGCAGCCCACGCTACCGCCGTCGTCCACAATACAGCCGCCAACCCATCCAGATCATACCCGATCGCAAGCCTACCAAAGCAGCTAGAGTTGTTCTTCTCTCACCTGTCTTCAAACATGCCGCCTCTTTCTCTGGAGGAGAAAGCTGTCGCACTCGTCGTGGCCGCTGTAGCGCATCATCATCATGCTCGCCGCAAAAGTGTGATTACTCGCACTCGACGTCCACGAAATCGCCCACTAGCAACACGCGAGCGCCCCTTTCAAAACACATTCTCCAAACCCTTCCATCGCGTTACACAACACCTCGACCGCCATGCGTTTCGACGCATGTTTCGGATGACGCGTCGCGCGTTCTGTAATCTGCTGACCACTCTCTCAATCGCACTGCACAGACCTCACCAACGCGCTACTAACTACCGACGGGAAACGATCACTGCTGATGTGCGACTAGGAGTGACTTTGCGTATACTGGCCGGTGCGGAAGTCCTTGATGTTTGTTACATCTTCAAAATTGGAAACTCTACAGCATATAATTTGCTTCATGACACTGTAGATGTCATGAACAGTGTGTTGCGCTTTCCTAAACTGCCGCGAACGGAGGAGGCGTTGCATGCTGCAGCTAGGGACTTCAAAATTTCCCGATCCCAGTTCAATCCACTAGATGGCTGTGTGGGAGCCCTAGATGGAATTTGTATGAAATTGAAGAAACCGAAGAACGAGAGTATACCTGCGTCATTTTACTGTCGAAAGGGCTACTACGCCATTCCTATCCAGGCCGTTTGTGATTCTAACTATCTTTTTCGTTATGCATCGGGACTTTGCGGCGGCGCGACACACGATTCTCTTGCGAATGCGGTATCAGGGTTCATGGAAGAGGTAAATGATGGACTGTTGGGGGAGGTATTCTGGGTTGCGGGCGACGAGGCGTATTCGGTTTCCGAATGGATAATTGTGCCATATCCGGCCTCAACGCTAACGGATGATGAAGATAACTTTAACTTTTATCTTTCTTCTCTTAGGATTCACATCGAACAAGCTTTTGGAATGCTAACGGCGAGGTGGCGTCTTCTTCGCGACCGCCTAAATTTCTCATTGCGCCATTGCTCTAACATAATGTCAGTCTGTATGAAGTTGCACAACTACTGTATCGAAGAAGATGGGGAGCGAGAAAGGCAATCTTGGGATGTCGTCAACGATTCGTTTTTACCGGGGGAGCGCGCCGAACTAGAGATCGATCGTGATCGGTTCATCCGCGAAATGAAGGAGCTGAACCGAACGGTGCTGGGGCAATGCAGAGATTCAGTCGCTGGTACGCAAACTGTGGCTCGTAGAACGCGCAGCACCCTTCCATCCCGAAAGAGAGAGGTGCTGAAAAATATTGGGAAGGAGAAAGGACTTATTCGACCGGCGATGACAAATGTGTAGCTTGGTTCTACGTGTAGTTGACATGCTTGAAGTTGCCTCACCGTCTGTTGACGAAGGTGAGGGGTGGTGGTGGGATTTTGTAAACGAGCGAGAATTTTCGTTTGACGTCAAAGTTCCCCCAGCCACAGCCCCGATACATGCGTCCCTCTTCATCTCTTCATCTCTCCCTCCGCCCCTCTCACCCCCATCCGCGCATCCCATCCCGTCCTCTCCCGGCGCCGCCCGCCGCTCCGCCGCAGTTGCCCCGGCGAACCTCCCTGCACACGTCTGTTGCGGACTCACCCGGCAGCGACCGCTCGCCCCCCTCACGGCTCGCATGTCCTCGCGTCGCCCCGAGAAGTGGGGCCACCGCAACTCGCAGTGGATCACTGCGTCAATCGACGAGCTTGCTCACAAGCGTGAGCCGTGCACCACACAAAACACTTCGCGTGCCTCCGGCTTAGATGTAGGACGAACTGGCCTTGAAGGACGACAGTGAGGCTTTCAAAAAAAGTGGCCGCAGTTCTTCCCAATACGTGCGTTGGTTGCCGCGCGTGTGTGCCTCGTTTTTCTTGGTTTTCGGCGCGGCCGTCACCCGGCAGAGCGGTCCGTATCTCATCCCCGCCCGTTACGGCACAAGTTGAGGCAGCCGCGCAGCCAAGTGTTAATACTGTCACAGACGAGACGGATTCCGCACCAAGATATCAAAGTCATTGACCATAGCAAGCACCGTTGGATACCTTCCCAGATCATTTTGACTTGCAATTTTCGCAATATCCATCGGTACCTTGATAATGTCGTAATAATCCGGGGCAGAATCCGGGTCAACCGGATACCAAAATGCCTTGAACCGATTGTCACGTATTAGGGTATCAAGAAAATTTCGCATTTCCATTCGCATTATTCTAATGTACTTCTCTTCTTCAAGCCTCTTCCGATTGACTTCTACTTCTGTTGGAATTTTCGGCCTTTGCGGAGGTGCAATCGGAAGCACTTCGGTCCTTCGCTTCTTTCGGAGACGTTTTGCTGTTGCGCGAGAGAACCGTGGTATCGCCTGAGCCTCACCCAAAAGCGGCGAAAACATACGTTTTCGGGAAGCCTCTGAAGGTGCGCTCAACTCCACAGTTTCGACAAACAGCTCTGTCACCTCTGGCGCCAGCTCGTTCAAGGGGACATCGGCGGTGCATCACTCGGATGTTTCGAGTGGGCCGACCCGTGTGTCCTGTTAATGCGTCGCCGATTTGCAGTCCTGTGTCTAAGTCCCAAACTCGTACGCTCTGGTCATCCGATCCAGATACTGCACGTTTTCCATCACCACTCATCGCAACGCTCGCTACCACACTTGTGTGTCCAGTTAATGCGTCGCCGATTTGCAGTCTTGTGTCCACGCCCCAAACTCGTACGCTCTTGTCCCAGGATCCAGATACTGCACGTTTTCCATCACCACTTATCGCAACGCTAAACACCCGACCCGTGTGTCCAATTAATGCGTCGCCGATTTGCAGTCCTGTGTCCACGTCCCAAACTCGTACGC